ATATTATATTTTGTCATTATTTGCTCTCTCAACTGTTTTTTCTAGAAATTTTGTTTATATATAAAAAGCTTAATAAGAAGATTGCAAAAAAATAATGATAACTTTGTTTATTTAAAAGGAATTTATAATTAATATAAGTATTAATGCAACAATCAATATATAAGCAAATAATTAATCTAATTTAATGTCTTAACTATATAAAAAATTATAGATATATTTTTCACATTTTATCATGTATCCTTATACAATAAATATTATATTGTACATCTAATAAATATTCCAGAATTAAATTTTTTTTTATCAATCTGCCTTAAAGAGCCTATCCATTCCAATAAAGTAATAGATTTATGAAATATTATCTTTATAATATTTATATATACTTTTAAATATTATATATTTTTCATTTTTTGAATACACAACTGCAGGAATAAATAAAAAACTTAAATATCTCGCAACAACAATATAACTTTAATAACAATAATACAGAACATTTTACTATTGCATTGTATACAATTAAAATTTTAATATATTATCATTTAGGAAACTTTTTTTCTTTCAATCTTTTCCTGGTACTTTTTTTTGTACATGTATTTATTACTTTCAGAAATCTATTATCTCTCAGAGAACCACAATAAAAGAATAATTTATCACTCACCAGTACGCAGCAGCGGAGTCATGACGTCAATCTGTAAAACACGAAAATATGTTCAAAAATTTAAAAAATAATCAAAATAATTGATATTCTAAAAAAGAATTATTGCGTACATTGAATGTGCATTGTTAAATACACTCATTAAAAAAAATACTATTTCAACAAAATAATTTAAAATATTCATTGCAACAAATATTTTCCAATATAAATGTTACAAAACTTTTTAAAAATATATCTAATGAATTACAAGTGGAGTATGTTCACACATACATTTTATTTATTTATATTATTTTATTTATCTATACATTTTATTTATCTACATTATAAATATTAAATTCTATCCCTTTGTTATAATTCTTATTTTAAGTACCTCAAACTATTCATACCTAGGCTGCGTTCCATTTAACGCTCGCAACGCTCGCGTGCATCGTTTGTCGTTGTTTAATATTTCATAAACAACAAGGATAAAATGATTCTACGAACGTTCCACGTACGGGCGTTAAGTGGAACGCACCTCTAGACAACATACATATCCAAAAACGAAATACAAAACATCTGAAAAATATCTAAAAAAAGATATTTTTTTGCAAAAGACGTCTTACCTCGTTTTCACAATACATTACTAAAGATTAAAGATTATACCAAGGAATTGTTGAATAAATTTTATTGATGAATCTCTTCGTGATCTTTAGTTTTTAAGTAACCACATTGCGAAAAAGGGCCTTAAAAATGTCTTATGTCTCGATTTAGGAGACTTTATGTTTTGTCTGAGTATATTTCATGTGCATTATCTCACAATGACGTAAAATGACCGCGCGGAGATAGACGAGCATTTAATCCCAGAGAGTGTAATAAATAATAAATGAAACAAGTTACAAATGGCTCACCCACGGTTGCTCCGCCGTTGCCCGATCCCTCCCAGGCCTCCGCCTCCTCTCTCGTTACTCGACGGCTGCTCCTCCATGGCACTCGCGTGAACACTCGCGAATAACGATTGTGGTTAATTGCATGATGATACGCATGAACACGCTAATAACCGAGCGCCCGACACTCCCGACAACGCACGACATTCCCGACACTCTCGATAAGCAACGAGGCGGAAGAGAACGACGCAAAAATCATGAGAAACTATGATCCGTGTTGACGTGCGCGACAACCGAAACGGATGAGACGCCAACGGTCCGCGCGAGAAGGGAAGTCGAATATTTGAAGATCGCGCGGCCAACTTCACGCGTCACGTCGCAACAACGCTATATCGTGACGCCAATGATCCGCGCGAGGAAGGAGGGAAATCGAACATTCGAAGCTCGCGCGACCAACTTCACGCGTCGCGTCGCTTGTCGCGCTACACCTGTTGCACTGGCTGCACTTTCTGCACTTTTCCGCGTTCTAAACGGCAAATAATACGTGTATTCGTCTACGTACAAATATCCGCGTTCTAGGCGGTCACTATCGCATGATATAACCCGAGCGAATGATCCCGCGCGACGAAATGAATCGTCGAATATTCGAAAATACGATCGTTCTACGCCAACTTCTGCCTGCGGCTGCGGCGGATGTCGTCGATCGAATGAATTTCGCGAGATTGCGCGGCACAACGATTCACCGTCGCGTAAACGTCGTATTTGCAATGCATGATCGACAAATATTGAACCACGGTGTTCATTGCAATTGTACTTACTAAAGCGCGTTCCGACTCTCGAACTGATGGCGTATCGGCATATCGGCAACTGTTGCCAACCGTTACGCTAATTACCGATGGATCCAACGGCAACTTCGATAGTCAAATCAACGACTAATTAATTAACCATGACAATTAATTAACCATGACAAACTACCCAGTGGCATATATATAATCGAAAATTCGTGTTGTACACGCTGCGAATTCCCAGATAATTATGAAACACGCGTATTATTATGAGTGATCGACGTGCGACGGTTTTCTATATTGCTTTAATCGCTCGCTCTGATTGGCGTATTACTTCGCGCAGCAAATTCGGAAACAAATGGACAAGTCTAGCGATGAAAAGTTTACAAGGAGCGAAATATGCGAGCCTGCGCAATATTGAAGAAATTTCTCGGTCGAGATTATAGGTTTATCAGGTTGTTG